ATGAACGCTGAGATGACTGCCCTAGAGCAGGAGTTAAGTAGGCTTCAGGCTAGTATTAATAAAAGTCAAGCAAGGACAGCCGCCAGAGATTCAGGACTGCCTGAAAGTAGGCGGACTACCATTAATGACCAAGATTACACGAGTGAGGGCGCAAGACCAAAAACTGTTAGGACGAGCACCCTACCAAATATGTATACTAGGCCTGACAATCTTAGCGATTTAAGAAGAACTGATAATGGCGAGCCAGATAGGATTTCTATTACGAGCACACCATACCATGCTAGTACATCCAGGTACGATTTCCCTTTGTTGAATGAGACAAACATTACAACACGCCGCCCTGAGAATATAACACAGGCAGACAAACGGAAAAACGCCATGGTGAAACCAGATAAATTTGATGGAAGTTCGTCATGGGCTGATTTTAAGTCTCACTTTGATGTCTGTGCAGAACTGAACAGATGGACTCTGGCTGAGAGGGGGATGTATTTAGCCGTTGCTTTGAGAGGTCAAGCACAGAGTGTGCTTGGAAATCTACCAGCGGTAGACAGATGCAACTACAGACTCTTAAGTAAAGCACTTGAAGAGAGATTTTTGCCGTCCAACCAGACAGAATTATATAGGGCTCAGTTGAGGGAAAGAAGGCAAAAGGCTACAGAGTCATTACCAGAACTTGGACAGGACATGCGTCGACTCGCAAACTTGGCCTACCCAACCGCCCCTGTGGAAGTGAGAGAAACTCTCGCGAAAGAGCAGTTCATTGATGCCCTGAGGGAAAGTGACATGCGACTGCGCATTAAACAAGCCCGGCCAGTGGACTTGAATGACGCAATTAGGCATGCTGTTGAATTAGACGCATTCAATTCAGCTGAACGACGTTTAACAGAGAGCAAAGGGTATTTGAGGGAGGTGAAGCCAGAGGAAAAGGCAGACCAAGGAGATATTATTACTTCCCTATTGAAAGCAGTCCAGGATATTCAAAAGGAAATGCAATCTATGAAAATAAGAATGGAGAAACAAAGCTCTACAAAGCCTTCCTCTGCTGGTGTGACCTGTCATTACTGTAAAAAGAAAGGTCATATGAAGAAGAACTGTTTCAAGTATAAAAATGCGATACAAGGCACGGCAAGTACCAACACTAGACAAAGGCCAGTACCTGTAAGAAATGAACATCAGAATGTTAAGCAAAAGGATAGCACAGCCAACAGGACAGGCATCAGTCGAAAGGCTGGTGAAGCTGGTATATTTATTGAAGCAATTTTTAATGGCTATAGGGTTAAACTACTTGTAGATACTGGTGCAACCCTCAGTATTATTTCACCAGACATACTACATTCTGTTCTTAATGATCCGCACCCAAGACTTGCTGAAGTTGGCAAGCCCATCCTAATGGCTGATTGTACTGCCATGAAAGTAGAAGGGTGTCTTTCCATTTCCCTTACAATAGCGGACTCAACGTTTAGCCAAACATTTGCAGTAGCAGACACTGGTGTTGATGGTATACTTGGTCTTGATTTTATGACAAACAATGAATGCTTGATTGATATGACAAACTCTTGTATGATCATGAAAGGCAAGCCTGTAAAACTTGCTTTTGAGGGAAAAATAGGATGTTGTAGGATTACCTTAGCTGAGAATGTAAGTGTCCCACCTTACAGTGAAATTGTTACCATGGGCAATGTTATACCTCCCGTCTTTGAGAAGGTACCAAAATTTGGTATCGTCGAGTCATCTGACCGTTTCTTAAAATCTGATAGAGGTTTAGTGGCCAGAACTTAAATATAAGGCAACAAAGTAGCACCTGTTAGACTGATGAACCTTTCATCAGAACCACAAACGTTATATAAGGGAAAATTTGTAGCTACTTTGTCTGCCATTGAGAAGGTCTATGATAAGAGAAACTACTTACAGGATAACAAGAGAAAATTCCCAGACCATCTTAAGGATTTGTATGCAAGGTCAGTAGCAGGACTGACTGCAGACAATGCCAAGGCTGTTAAAAACATGCTTTTGAAGTATTCACATCTGTTTGCTGCCTCAGACGCTGATTTAGGCCAAACGAAAGTTACCGAGCATACCATTAACACTGGAACAGCCACACCAATTAAACAGCCTCCAAGGCGCATGCCCATTCATATGCAGGAGGAGACCGACCGTCATATCGATGATATGCTAAAAAGGGAAATAATAGAGGAATGTACAAGTCCATGGTCATCCCCAGCCGTGTTAGTAAAGAAGAAGGATGGGACCACAAGGTTTTGTGTCGATTACAGGAAGTTAAATAATGTAACCATTAAAGATGCATACCCACTCCCAAGAATCGATGACTCCCTTGATGAGCTGTCAGGAAAGAAGTATTTTTCGACCTTAGATCTAAATGCTGGGTATTGGCAAGTCGAAGTGGCTACCAATGACAGAGAAAAGACAGCGTTTGCGACCAGAAAGGGCCTATACAACTTCAAAGTCATGCCATTTGGGCTTTGCAACGCCCCGGCGACTTTCGAGCGATTAATGGAAACGGTCCTGAGAGGTTTGCAATGGCAAATTTGCCTTGTATACCTTGATGATATCATTGTAGTTGGAGAAACTGTAGATGATATGACTAAAAATCTTACTGTGGTGTTCGACCGCTTAGTAACAGCTGGCCTTAAGCTGAAAGCCAGAAAGTACACATTGTTTGCTACAGAGGTAGAATATTTAGGGCACATTGTGTCCCAAAAGGGGATATCAACAAGTCCGGATAAAATTAAAGTTGTACAGGAATGGGAAGTTCCCTCCGATGTATCAGAGCTCAGATCATTCCTCGGATTCTGTAGCTACTACAGGCGTTTCGTAGCTAACTTTGCATTAATAGCCAAGCCACTTCATGATTTAACAAAGAAAGGAGCACATTTTAATTGGAGTGACAAATGCCAGGAAGCGTTTGATTTACTACGTAAAGAATTGTCAACCTCACCAGTACTTGCCCATCCAGATTTCAGTGCAAGGTTTATTTTGGACACTGATGCCAGCAGTTTTGCTATTGGTGCAGTATTATCTCAGATGCAAGATGGTATTGAGCGGCCTATTGCTTTTGCAAGCAGGAGTCTGACAAAATCTGAAAGGAAATATTGTGTTACTAGGAAGGAACTATTGGCTGCAGTTCACTCTGTGAAATACTTTCGGCATTACTTGTATGGTCGTCAATTTACATTACGTACAGATCATAGCTCACTCAGGTGGCTAATGAACTTTAAAGATCCTGAGGGACAGCTCGCCCGATGGATGGATGTTCTCTCTACATATGACTTTACCATTGAACATCGACCAGGAAGATTGCATGGCAATGCAGACGGTCTTAATCGAGCACCTTGTAGACAATGTAAAGTTGAACATTGTGCAACTGACCATATGAGTATCTGCCGTACTAAAGTAGTTGACCAATTGTTACTGCAAAAGCCATTGAAATGCCTACAGGATGATGACAAAGACATATCTAAAGTAAAAGCTTGGTTAGCAGTCAAAAGTAGGCCAAACAAAAATGTAGTGTCCTCAGAGTCAGTCACTGTGAAATCTCTTTGTGCCCAGTGGGACAGGCTTGTTATTAATGATGAAGTCCTCTGCAGGAAATGGACTGATTTAATTACAAGGCAAGATATTCTACGAGCCATTGTGCCTAGTAGTGAAAGGAGAACTGTGTTAAAGCACTACCATGATTGTAGATCCGCAGGCCATCTTGGTATTCACAAAACACTTGCCCGAATTCGACAGTCTTATTATTGGCCTGGTCTGCAAAGAGATGTACATTCCTACATTGCTGGTTGTGAAGTATGTACTAGACGGAAAGCACCTATCCCAAGCAACAAGGCTCCAATGAAGTTGGTGTATTCAGGCTATCCATTTGAGAGGATTGCCACTGACCTTCTTGGAGAGCTACCTGTGACTGCCAATGGAAATCGATATATCCTAGTAGTTTCAGACTACTTCACAAAGTGGACTGAATGTTTTGCAATACCTAATATGGAAGCGTCCACAGTCGCAGCAAAAATTGTTGAGGAGGTTATTACAAGATTTGGAGTACCAGCTGTGGTACATTCCGACCAAGGACCACAATATGAAAGTAATCTCTTTAAAGAAATGTGTAAATTGCTAGACATCCAGAAAACGCATACCCCCCCCCCCCGTACCATCCCCAGTCCGACGGGATGGTTGAGCGTTTTAACAGAACGCTCACAACAATGCTCAGTGCGTTCGTAAATGATCATCATAATGACTGGGATGTGCATTTACCTTTCATTATGATGGCCTACCGCAGTTCAGTACACGAAACAACCGGTATGACACCAAACATGATGATGTTTGGAAGGGAGGTTGCTACACCATTGGATCTCCAGTATGAGATGCCACCTCAAATAAAGGCCACGCCAAGCAATAAATGGGTGTGGGAATTGCAGGAACGTCTTGAAAAAGCCCATTCATTTGTTAGGAACAAAATGAATCAGTCAATGGCCAGACAGAAGCATTATCATGACCGCAAGTTAATGTGGAAAAAGTTTGAACCTGGCGAGGAGGTGTATGTTTATTTCCCATGGAGAAAACCTGGAACATCACCTAAGTTAACCAGTTTTTGGCAGGGTCCCTACAAGGTTAGGAAAAAGATGTCGGATTTGACATACCTTGTAAATTGTGGCCCAAGAGGTTCAGATCAAGTCATTCATGTAGATAGAATGCGCAAAAAGCGTATGCAAATTCTATCAGGCGAAAGTGATGACATACTACATAGTGAAACTGATGACTTGATGGATGATAATGAGGGTCAAGAAAAATCTGATTCAGATCATTATACAGGTTATGATGATGCCCTCCCTGATACTAATCCAGCAAGTAATATTCGTCCAAGTAGGGCTCGTAAGCCACCGATCTGGTTGCATGATTATGAAACTGACATGTAATGATACTATGATAGCTGTTCATAAGAAATATTATAAACACATAATGCATGCTTTGTTCATTTATTGTAGATGGCGAAGACAAAAGTTACTCCAGGGCAATGTCGTAGGTGCCCCATGTGTACCTACATGGCAAGATCCGAAGAGGATTACAAAAGTCATGTTATACAGTGTGCTATGAGAACATTTAAGTGCACCTTTTGCAGCTACTCAAGCAATAAGCAGATAAATGTCAAGAGACATGAAAAAAGATGCCATCTTGGCCTGATTGAGGAACCCATCAAGCTTGATGGCAAGCCCGAGAAGAGTGGAGAGTCGAGTAGGAGTAAAAGTGCGGAAGATGCTGAACTGTCAGAAGAGGATTGGCTCAAACAAGATTATGGGGACATCATTGGTACTCTGTCCACTGACAGTAGTGATGAGGAAGAGTCGAAAGATTCTCAACCACAGAAAGAGGAAAGGGTCACTAATGATCAGCTGCTGGAGGGTAGAGTCATAAGGAAACAGACAGCACCCACTAGACCTCACATTCCTAAGGTTAAGATTCCTCAATCCACCAGTGCACCAGAAGTTGAAGACACACAGGACTCAAGATGTGACAGTTGTAAGAGGAAGATATCCATGGTGGACATCGGAATCCAGACAGATGCTGGTCTGAAGACTATTGTGACCAGGCGGGTTAAGAGATTTCGTGAGGGTGACATTGACATTGAAGAAGTGGTTGAGGAGAAGACAGAATTCTGTTGACTTTTGCTGCATATAATTGTACATAGTTTTATATATGATTATAGAATACAGAAGAAAGGAATTCTTTGTATATAACTTTAAAAAAAAAATTGGTTGTTCATTAAACCTTCTTCTAAATGATACAGTTAGTTTCTAAGTTGTACATGCGGGACGCATGTCATCGGAGGCATGGGTAGTGTAATGATTACGGAATTTTATGGTACGACCATGCAGATTTCTCTATTAGTCACCGTTGACATCACGTGACATTAGTAGGGTATATATACCGAGACTTCGCAGTCGTCTGTTGTTATTTGTGAAGATCCAGCCGAATGGTGAAGACGAGTGTAAGTGTAGTATTTACGGTTTTTAATTCCTCGCCTGTGTTACAGTTTGAGAGTGAATTTGGAAGGCCATTTGAGGTTTGACAAACCAGATATAAGGCCTGCCACGAAGAGGTTGTCCTCCAGTAAAGAGGCTAGCCATAAAGTTGGCTCGTCTGCATTGGCTGACCAGTCCGTCCAGGCTGCTATACTCATTGTCCGTCCTGAATAAGGCATCCTACAGTGAGTGTAGTGGTTGAAGGGCTATCACATATACTGTCTGTCCTGAATAATATTTTAATTAGTGTTAGGTTAGGACTACCATTGCTTGCCTCCGATTGTTATATTGATTCACCATTTGATTATTGTTTACCTAGATAAGGTTAGGACATATTTGTATATTTCGGCAGTCCACTTAAATCATACCAATCAGTTTTTAAGCAGTTAATGTTGAACACCCCAAACCCTGGAATTGACCAGGTACGACCCCTGTGATTAATGTAAATACGATACACTTCCATATAAATATGACTCATCATGGCTTTGCTGTTCTTGAAAAGAAGATTTCTAAAGATTTTTCCTATATATTTCTATGTAAAAATTTGATAGTCCATTGTGGCCTCGCCTATCCCCGGGGGTCAAGATTTGAACAAACTTGAATCTACACTACCTGAGGATGCTTCCACATGAGTTTCATCTTTCCTGTGGTTCTTGAGAAGAAGATTTTTAAAGATTTTTCCTATATATTTCTATGTAAAACGTTGATCCTCCTTTGTGGCCCCGCCCTACCCCCGGGGGTCAAGATTTGAACAAATTTGAATCTACACAACCTGAGGATGCTTCCACATGAGTTTCATCTTTCCTGGCCCTGTAGTTCTTGAGAAGAAGATTTTTTAAAGATGCTATTAATTTTTCACTAATTCTTTATTATCTCCTCTTGAAAGAGGGCGTGACCCTTTATTTGAACAAACTTGAATCCCCCTTACCCAAGGATACTTTGTGGCAAGTTTGGTTAAAACTGGCCCAGTGGTTCTTGAGAAGAAGTCGAAAATGTTAAAAGTTTACAGACAGACAGACAGACGGACGCCGGACAAAAAGTGATCAGAAAAGCTCACTAGAGCTTTCGGCTCAGGTGAGCTAAAAATTAGAAACTTCCCATAGGAAATTCGGACAGGAATATTTAGGACGTTTGTTGCTCAAACTCTAGTTGTTTATGCATGTTTAGCAACACTTTTCCATTTTCCATTTTATTTCATTATCTAAAGAATTTTCTTACTTGATATATTTTATTGATAAAGAAAATATTGAGCATATTTAACGTGAAAAATTGAGGTATTTCCTGATAAATACTCAGGGGTCATTAGCATAAAAAGAAGGTCATTGACCTAGTTATTTGAAAGTGAATAATATCACTACAATCATAGGTCTACAATGTACAATAGGTGGTTTTTCATTTTTATCAGTGAAATCTTTTTGTCCTCTCAGTAAACCTCATCCTTAACAGATGGACAAATTCTGACTGGCCAGCTCTTGAACTGGATCACTTTTGCCAAACCATTGTCAGTATCATGCATAACAAGTTAAATCAATGCAAAGTATCAAATCGGCCGCAAAAATATTTTTATAATTTTGAAGTATTTCTACAAGAAAGAGTCCAAAGAAAACATTCGAGCAGAAAAAGTGTATGATACATTTTAACATTTGCGTTACTTTTCTGCACTTTTTTTTTTTTTTAATCTAAACTCAATAATTTTCAGTGATCAATTGTAAAATATTTTTCCAAAAAAAATTAAAAAATTAATTGATATGACAATCGGACTGAGATAAAAGATAGAAATGTATTATCATCAAATTATTTTATTCAAGGACAAATGCTAGGCAACTTTTTTCCAGACATAACTTTTTACTATTGAAAATGTTCATTGAAAGGCTGGTTGCCTCCTCCCCCACTTTTTGTTGCACTATAGTCAAATAAGGGTAATATGTTTTTGTTTGTTTGTTTGTATGTTGTTTAACGTTCCACTCGAGAATTTTTCACTCATATGGAGACGCCACCACTTGCCGGTGGAGAGCTGCAAATTTTGTCCTATACTCGGCACTTACGGCCATTGAGCAGTGAGGGATCTTTTTCGTGCCAGCACTGCGACACGGGACCTCGGTTTATACGGTTTCATCCGAAGGACCGGTCTCCACGTCCCACAGTGGGATTCGAACTCCCGACGTAAGGATCAACTCCTTACTTCGCGACTCTAGAGCAGACGCTCTAACCACTGCGCCACGCGCGGGCGACAAGGGTAATATGTAGTTGTGTATGAATAAAATTTGGTACTGAAGGAAGTTAAAATCTACACCCTCCCCCCACCCCCAACGTAATAGATTTTTTGAGTTTGGATTTTTTTAAGTTTCCTTTTTTTTTTTTTTGCCTTGTTAAAATTTTTCAAGTTAGTCAATTTTTTTCTCTGACTGACCACCCCCTTCTTTCAAAAACGATGCTACGTTCCTGAATGGAACCATCTAAAATAATTGATTATGAATGTCTGAATACTTAGAAAAGGGACGTACAAACTTCACGTGCTGATACCCTGGATCTTTGTCACGTGACAATGCCGATCAATTTTGTTTTTTGTTTGTTTATTGTTTAACGTCTCTCTCGAGAATTTTTCACTCATATGGAGACGCCACCGCTTGCCGATGGAGAGCTGCAAATTTTGACCTCTACTCGGCACTGAGGGCCATTGAGCAGTGAGGGATCTTTTTCGTGCCAGCATCTACTGCGACACGGGACCTCGGTTTATGCGGTCTCATCCGAAGGACCAGTTTCCACGTCCCACCCGATCAATTTTGTGATAGATATGTATGTAAAGTACAGAAAAAAATTAAAATCTTCTTCTCAAGAACAGCAAATTCATGATTAGTCACATTGATATGGAGACATTCTCAGGTAGTGTAGGTTAAAGTTTTTTCAAACCATTAGTCGGGAGTATGGTGGGGCCACAATTTTAGAATACTAAAAACTGCAAGTCGACAGGGAAAGGGAGAATAGGTTTGTCATCTTTGGGCCTCAGATTTTTTCTTAAGATCGTCTAAAGTTTCATCTGGAAATATTTTATGTAATAAATGAATTTTTGACCCTGGCCTTCACTTTTTGACCTAAAAAAATCATATGGGTCTTTGTAAGTCAATAAGTCATTGGGTGTTATGATGATAAAAATTCATTGCAAAAGCTCAAAGAGAATAAAAAGCACATGTACATGTATTTCACCTGGAAACCATTTTATACAAAATGTATTTTTCCCCTCAAAATCTAGTCTTCTTAAAATGTAAGAGAGTTATGATATAGATATACCTATGTAACTCGCGAATTACGTCTACATTTTCTGAGTATAGTGAAAAATCATCAAATTTAACACGATATGTCCTTTCTTCAAACAACATTAATTGTTTTGATTGCGTAAACTATACAGTGTCTGAGTCATGAAAATAAAAACCGACATATATATGCCCGGCATATAGTAATACTACTGGTCAAGGCAGAGGATACTTTTGTAACTAGACTGAAAACTCCTTAAACCTCAACACGATGCCTAGACATCTAGGTTTGTCTGCCATATCACTGTGCATTTTTTGTTATCTGTACGAACCCTATATAAGCCGTTCACTTGGCCACGGTTCAGTGTAAATCTGTTTCCACCGGTGTGGACGGACGTATTCTACATAGCTATTGTAAAACTCTCGGTGGCAACAAAAGTAACTGTGTGCTTCTTACACGGCAGAAGAGAAAGTTACCAAAGAAACTTACAACACTTGCACAGGTCAGTGCAGTTCAAACAAACACAAATGCACGTAAACTGCAATAAAATGTAAACAAAGCATGCGCGGATCTAGAGGGGAGGGGAATAAAAAATTACTTTGGACACCCCCCCCCCTTTAGAAAACGTGGATCCCACCATCACCACCACGAAACAGGTGATTTCAACTTTTCGTTGATGGATTTTATGGGTTTTTTTTTTGCTTGTCAAGAAATTTTTGGGTTAGAATATTTTTTGACTGGGATGGACCCCCCCCCCCCCCCCTGGAAAAAATTCTTGGATCCGCGCCTGCATATTTTATTTAAGATAACCAACACGAGCATGTGTCGTCCATTTCACGCAGGTGCCCGTGACAAGAAAGCAGTCAGGTGTAACGAATGCGAAGGAGATATAAGAGATAGGAAAACTAATACTCTATGGCGTAATATGCCTATTTGCGAGTCGTATTCAGCTTTAAGAGGCATAGAGCAAAAGCTCTCAAACTAATCATATATATTCATATATTGTGCAGCTCAGCCTCTCAAAGCTTCCTGTGAATGTTCGTTTTAGTGTCAAATAATCAGTTTCGGGAAGTCACTGCAATGCACGAGAATTTTAGTCATACAACATATTTTCCTCATTTTATATTTTCATACATTTAATTCTCAATGACAAGATCGAAAACAGACGGAAGTAAGTATTCATATTTTTGCTTGAAAATACTTATTAAAGGTATCCAAGTTAATTTCAGAGGGTCAATTCAAAGTTAATGACTCAGTGAAAAAGAAAAGAAAAACAATTCTTTAAAATGACAATATATATATTTAGTTGCGATGATATACTAGAAAATAGAGTATAAGATTTCTCTGTAGAAACTGGATTATAAACTATAAATTAACAACTATCTGAT